CCCTGCGCAAACGCCGATTCTGCGTAAGGATGTCATCATCCACCAGGCGTCCGGCGGTTCAGTGTACTTATTTTTGATAGATGGATATTATCAAATCTCGATGAGCGGAGAGGATGTCCCTTCGACGGATGTTACCGCACCATCCGGTATGTTAATGGTGTGGCTTTTGATATCACAGGGACTATCCATTGCCCCAGTAGCGCATAATCGATTGGTCTCACATTTGTTTCGACCACTGCGATGCTTCGCACAAACGTAACTCTGTCGAAATTTGTGTCAATTCGAATGACGAAGAAGGAAAATCTGCCGACGAAATGCACTTGGTGCACCTCCGTGCAATGACATTCGTTGCAAGCGAATCTGGCAAAGTATATTTTTGGTGCTAATAGAGTACCGGTCCTCGGTTGTTATGTTGGTGAACACGGTGTTCGTGCATACCCTGAGAAGGTCAAAGCAATCGTGAAGTGGCCGACGCCAAATAAATCAAGCCAAGAGGAAAGAATGGATTGGTATCTCCAATTGCCCAGGTCGCTTCTTACGTAACTACGCGGGCATGTTACGCCCACTATCAAACTTACTGTAAAAGGACGTACGATGGATGTTGTCATCCATTCACTCGAATCAAGAACAGCTTGATGGAAGCACCATAGCTTGCTTTACCAGATGATTCGAAGCCCTATAGCGTGGTGTATGACGCTTCTGAGTTTGCAATCGGTTGTACATTATTGCAAAAGGACTTAGAAGGACACGATCGTGTCGTGTCCTTTCAATCGCGACAGCTGAAGCCAGAAGAAAAGGAATAGCATGTTCACGACAAGGAGCTTTGAGTAATGAAATATGCTCTGGTGAGGTTTTGTGTTTACCGCTTGGGTTCAACTCCGTTTGTCGTCTACCCGGATCATGCAAGTTTGCGTTATGCAGTTCAATCACCTCACTTGTCACAGCAAATAGTTCGCTGGTTGTTGATCTTCGCAGAATACAACTTCATCGTCGCGTACAAGCCAGGGAAGTTGATCGTGCTTGCAGACGGATCGTCGTGTCATCCTGATTATGAGCTCGCTCATATCACTTATATCGAAAGCAATGTACTCAATATGATACGCCGAGCGTTTATTGAGAATAAACAATTTAATCTGATCATCAGAGCACTGTCATCGAGTGATTTGGAATTCCATGACAAGCTTCCTGGTCGCTTGAATTTAGGCGTCATCGTTATATATGGAAGTATATTATCAGTTGCATGTGGCAACGGGCCACGAATTGTGGTTCCCCACAATGATGATTTGGAGTACAAGATAGTGCACGAGGCAAAAGATATGCAGATGGCCAGTCACTTAGGCGGAGAGAGGACTTATCATTTATACAGTTTTCAATTTTGATGGCTCATATGTACAAGTGAGTGGCACGATACGCGATTTCTGCCAGCATGTGAAGAGCGCAAGCCACACGCTAGTGCCTCTGCATATTTTTCCTTTTCTTACTGACCGTTGGAAGTCAGTCGGTCTTGCCTTATCTTGAGATTTGCCGAGAATGTGCACGACCACAATAGAGTCCTCGTGTTTGTTTACAAACTCAGTAAGAGGATTTGCAATGCTCCGTGTAGCGATTCCACCGATGCCAAAGGTTCGACTAGATTGTTCGTTGACACGTGTTTTGCAATTTCTGTTGCCAGAAGCCACCGTATCTAATGGTGTTGCACGATCTATGAGTGGCTTTTGGAAAACATTGTTTCACTTTTGCTTGGATGTGTCCACAGCGGTACACTCGACGACCGATAGGCAAACAGCATTGATTGGCGATGTGGTGAGACGTTTGCGGAAATCTCGCGGAATGGGTTCGTTGTTACAATTAGTAAAGTATGCTATTTACAATTCAGTTCAATCATCCACTGAATGTACACCACTTTATATGAATAGTGGACGACAATCGTGAAGGTGGTTCAACAATAGTCAACGACGTTCATGCTGCTTTCGCAAAACCTGTGATAAATACCCCTTTTCTTGTAAACTATGACCAGACCATGTCAAAAGGTAATAAGAACGCTTTGACAAAGAGTTTGCGCCTCCCGTTTCAAGATACCCCGCAATTACCGGTTTGTGCGCTGGGTAGTGCCTCGAATGTAAGTGAGGGAGGAGCTCGGCAAATCGTTGCCTCCCAAACAAATTAAATAAAGATGCGCATGTCAATTTTAAGTACAAGAACGCCCTGGACACATTTATCATGAGTGATCTCACGGGTGCCAGACGCAATGGCGAATGCGCACGATCTGCAAAAGGTATCGTAGATGGACAAGGTCGTCACGGCATTATGTCTATTATTGTCATGGATTATGTACTACGTAGTACTAAAAACCTATCAGATGATTGTATAGGGGTGGGCCAGTTTGGCAAGCTCGAAGCTTATACCTCGCTTCATCGGTCGATTCGGAGTAGTATCACTCCATGGGAATGCGTATACTACCGACCTGCTAAGCTGGCTTAGAACCCACCCGACGCTCTACGTATGGATTCTGAAGCCTACCATCGCGACGACGCAATTTCGCAACCTGGATGTATCGCAGTTTTGTTCGAAAATGGTCTGGCTTAGGCACGAGGGTCGAAGGCTGAGCCCATCGGAATTATCGCCTCAGCATCGCCCTCGGAATGACGAAAAAATCGGGGACACTCGGACAGAGCGAGATCACTTGGCAGACGTCTCTGCATCATCAGCGAAAGCAGCCGCAGCAAGCGGTAGAGCTTGCAGAGCCTGCACCAATCGGTGGGTCCGATCCTCGATTGCGTCCCCAGGCGAGTTTCCATGACGCCATGGAAAGTCGCGAACTTCGCGAGCGACCTATCGATTATCCTTCACGAGTTGTCACGTCGACGACACTCGATCGGTAACCTCGATAAGCCGCTAGTTCATCAGTGAGGGAAGCTTTTTCACCTTCGTCAAGCGCAGTTTTAAGGTGGACAAAGGCTGTGAGCCAGTCAAAGAAGAAGCAGAGGTGACGGCCGCTTCGATCACCTGAACCTTTTCTAGATCGACAAGGGAATCGAAACTATCGCGTCGGAACGTGGTGGCGGAGAGGAGCGTCCGCGGTCGGAAAAAGCTCCTGGTTAAATGGCTGAAGTACCCAGCGAGCGATAAATCGTGGGAGTCTCGAACGCGTATTCGTCGCGACTGCCACAGTATCATTCGCGGGTTCGATGAGAGACCCTAGACGGACTTCACTTAATGAAGCTGTCCCTTACTCTTCTTCCGTCGAGAAGCCGAATAATGATCGAGTACACATCAGTCGAACATCTATTTGAGAATAGGGTTCGTCAGACTCTTAGGTTGAACCGCCACGTCTTTCGAAATAGTCGTCGTGACGATAGAGTTCACGATAGCGCAAATGCGCTAAATGACGTGGGTTCGGAAAAATGTCCAAACAAGGAAGAGTCGGACAGAGTTTGACAAAGCGCGGAAGAAGGAAAGTCGGACGAAAAGTCGGACGAAAAGTCGGACGAAAGATGAACGAATTTGAAGGAAATTCTGAAGAGAGTATGAAGAAAAGCCTGGAGAGGAATCAGAAGAAAATTGAAGAAAATTTCAAGTATTTGGGTAAACCCGCCTTCGAGTAGGTAGGTCGGGTCCTACTACATATTTGTGTGGGCCACATAATTTGTGTTTCATACATCGACTATTCACCTGTATTGTTGTATACTCCTTTCTAAATTCTGTTATATCAGAACCAGAAGTACTTATCAGGTTAGGGAGGTTAGAAGCCTATCAGCTATAAAAGACAATGTTACTTTACCTTTGCTCCCTTCTACGGAAGTCAACAGCCCGCGGAATCGCGTAACCCGCGGTGAGGCCTCTCATTTGACCTAAGGGTTCCTCGGAAAGTGTGATTACTCGGACATGCTATTCCCGTTACAGCCTTGCTTAGCAAGATAATTTTTTTAAGATGATAACTCAGCAATTTTTGTGTTGGATTGAACTACAGTATAGCTATTTCAAGTTAGATGATACGAGGGTATGATTCTCGCGTAAAGAAATCGAATGATTACATCAGGCTCAAAGCTTTCCTTAGCAACATAAATACTCAATGCTTTTTTCGGTTATCATCACGTTCGTCTACAGCTATTTCACGATTTAGATAGCTTGCAGCGGAGCTGCCGTAGATCTTTGCTAAGAAGCTTACTAAGGTCCCCAACCTTACGTTCTATACTAGAACCAGTATGGGTGTGGTGGATCGCAATTCGCTACCTCCAAGAGAACCCAAACCTTAACCCAAGGCAAATGCACTCTTCCGTTAAAAATATGCATAACTACTGGCAGTCTCGCCACGTAGTGGCTTCTTGTTACGGTGTAACCACACATTTGTACGGTCACACCATCTTATGTGACCCACCCTTTTATACAAGGGTGCGTGAAATCCCGTTAAAATCTCCCCCATAGAGGTTATAAATACCCGCAATTCACACTTGACTGTTGCCTCATACGAGGTTCGCGTAATTTAGACACCGATACGTCCCTAGGACCATCTTTACACATTATCTGTTTAATGAGCCATGTGTCTATGACAAGAAAGACACTCAGCCTCGCTGTCTCCGAGGGGGCCCGCGGGGGCCCGCGGGTAGAGCCCTTCTTCCTCATCTGTACTCGGACATCACGTTCACGGCTATCACGGATAGTACATCCCAGGCCCTCAGCAACCGAG